GCGCTTTCAACAGGTTTTAACCGTGGTGACAATCCACCTTTGAGAAAGCAATCAAGAATCGAGTAGATTCCGGCTCGTGCGATATGAACTTTCCGATGAATGCTCGGTTAGTAGTACTAAATTGTTATTCTTGTTTCGTTTGTATATACATGAATATTTACTTTAATCTCCTTAACCATTTTAAATAATTAGGTTTTTGATGATATGTAATCGAGCCTTTCATTCGAATGGGACGATCGCCTTCGCCTCCTAACACAGTCGCGTATACATATAGTGAGTGATCCACGTTCTCCCATGAGTTGGGAAGCAAAATCATTTATAAAAGTTGAGCTCCAACGGGTAATCGGGAAATCCAAAATGGGTTTCTCGTTAGATTTCTCGAGGACTTAAATTTGAGCGGGCTCGTTTCGTGTCCAAAGACGAGAGATTATCTAACACATTTTTCAAAAAATTCTACTTAACCACATTAATAAACACCTCGTGTGTGTTGAGGTAAACTAAACGTAATTTAGGAAATTTATTTATTGATTTACAAGATGGATAGATGTGTGTTTTAATTTGAGCACCTAACTAATTTACAAGATGGATAGATGTGTGTTTTAATTGGAACACCTAACTAATAAACCGAAGTTTTTGTTTGCGTAATAACAATTCTCGATTTTAAAATAAACCCTATGCGACTTAGATTATGATGTCCACTAAAAAAAAAAAAAAAACCTGCTTCAGGCATCCAAATTTCACGCCAAATATATTTCTCGACAATACAAAATTCCCAACATTGGCAATCCCACGAATAGTGAAAACCAAAAGAACGCGTTCCCTAACCACCACTTCTCTCTTATCACTGGCAATCTACCTAACGCGATCAATGGCATTTGAAGCATTTGCATGACAAATAGATACATTCGAATCTTTTTTGTTACAACCACCATGACTAATTCGTGAACTAACGAAGAAAGGAAGAACGTCATAAATGTTGCATCTCGCTTTGATAATTTATA